TTTCGTATATGTGTTAGATAAAGTTGAGATTTGGACAAAAGAAAAGAAAATTGTTAATTGGAATTTAAATAAAATCTAACTGAATCTAAAAATTTGTATAGTTTAGGAGTGTTCACAATTGAAACCTAATTTGTTTTGTCAAGCTCTAAGAAAAAAAAAAGAATGTTTTAGCTTATGTTTATTGTTATTAGTATTTTAATTTCATTGTTTCATAGTCATTACAAATGCTATTAAATTTCTCTCGTGAATTGCTTGTCCAGAAAGCAAGCATGCATGTATTTGTGCAAGTCATTACAAACAATATTAAAACGTTTAGTTATATGAATCGATTAATGATGTGTTTATCTGATTGTCAAGCTATTTCATCTTAGCCTTGTTGAATACATAGTCTTCTTTAATCCATTAATCACTGCATTTAGATTTGTATTTGAAGCAATCTCATGAAATAATTTTTAAAATAAGCTTTATTCAGATATGAAAAACTAATATAACCGAATGAAGTTTCGCTTGTTTATTTAAATGAAAATAGTATTTTTTTCATAGACATTTATAACGTGTTGAATTATAAATATCATTATATAACTAACTACGCACTTACGTGTGTAGTTACATTTTTCATAAGATACACTTTCATAGAACAGAAAAAGAAGGAACAAAGACATCACGTGTCTTCTAACACTATTTATCGGTAAGACAACACGAAATCGTATGTTATATGTTTTACCTCATTTTATTCTATTGAAATAAGCGAAAATATAAATATGATGACGTCAAATTTTATACTAAAACATTTAAAAAAACATAGGAGTGTCGAAAATCTAAAGAATCTAATTTATTAAATAATATTATATGCTTTTATAAATCCGAAATAAGTCTAATTTTTTGAATGAATAATCATACAGTAACCTAGATTCATTGCTTCACATATAGATGTGTGAAGAAATAACAGTTAAAGTTTTTTTTTAGATTAGATTATTATTTAAACAACAATGAATCAATCTATACAAGGTCGTCCACCTTATCCACCTTTTACAAAAGAAAGTGCTATTCAAAAAGTTCGTGCTGCTGAAGATGCTTGGAATAGTCGTGATCCACAACGTGTCTCTTTGGCCTATAGTGAAAATAGTCGTTGGCGTAATCGTTCTGAATTTATTAATGGTCGTGAAGAAATTATTGCATTTCTTACTCGTAAATGGACCAAAGAACTTGACTATCGTTTAATCAAAGAACTATGGGCTTATGATGGAAATCGTATTTCTGTACGTTTTGCTTATGAATGGCATGATGATTCAAGTAATTGGTTTCGATCATATGGTAACGAGAATTGGGAATTTGATGAACAAGGATTAATGACTCGACGTTATGCTTCTATTAATGATTTACCAATTAAGGAAGAAGAACGTAAATTTCGATGGACACTTGAAAGACGACCAGATGAACATGTTGGATTAACAGATTTAGATTTATGAACTCTAATCAAATCATTTTTTATAGATTTCTATAGTATCATTTTTCAAATTAAAAAAAATACTATCGCGATATATAAAATATTGTATTTCAGAAAAAAATTAATTTTGATCAAATTTATTGATTTTGTGATTTATAGTTCGTCAGACAAAGCGAAGTATCTACTCCTGTATATTTTATAGCTTCGTGATTTTATCTTGAGATTTAACGATATTATATAGAGTTTTGTGAACCTTCACACAAAAGCAATTACGGTTTTTTCCTAAAAATTTTCTTCCAACCTTCTCTGTTGTCTTCTGGCAGCAATGAGCATGAATCAGTGATCTATAACAAGTTCCTGGAAGATTCTCTTTGTATCAATTAATAAAGAAAAATTTCTTGAAACTTGTTTTGTGTTTTTCTTACATGAGAGTTTTTGATTTTGATATTTCCGTGTGATCCAGAATTCTTCGCCATTTTAAATACTAGAAAACTCAGCTTGGTACTAAATTGAAGGCAAAAACCAGCTCTACAACTTAACAGGACCAAGCTTTTCGATTTTCAATTAAATGTTTAGTCAAACTAACCATTATAAACCTATAATGTCAAGTTATCATGACACATCTTGGCTATATTTAGAAAATATCTGAGTTGAAACGGCTAAAACTCCCTTACTTTCACAGACATAATAAGTTCGATAGAGCTGGAGGATTTCTTTTTACAGATACTAGGCGCTGTCTGAGCTGCCTACTTATTACTGGTTTCTTTTTATTTCCTTCCATTCGAATAAAAATATCAAAATTCTAAGCGTACTTCTAAAATCACATTTTGTTTTTTTTATAAAGTCTGAGAAAAAACTAACCGTACAGTACTTGTCAAAATACAGGCAAAGGGGACATCCCGAAAAACCTCTAGTATCTGTAAAAAAAAGTTTCAGCTCGATCCAATGTACTGCTGTGTTAATTATAATTTTTTCTTTTTTTTGGTGCGCATATTATGATTACAAGTACTAAGATGATTTTGGAAAGTACTTAGAGGTTAACTACTTTAAAACAGACGAAAAAACATTTGTATATATCTAATTTTTTTCTCTGAACGTTGGAAAACATGAGTGGATCCATCTTCATGTCTTGCTTTTTTTGAAAACCTTCAAGAGAATTTGATATGTTTTCGAAAACCGTAACTTTAATCATAATGTGTGTGTGAGTGTCGATGGAGTACTGTTTTGGGCAATAAAAACATCCACACTCAGATTCTTTCTCAAACACTATCCCGACAGTGACAGATTTCTAATCGCGACGAACATCTCTATTAGGTTGTTTGTGAATAAATGTGATACCATCTATCACGGACTATATATTAATAAAGTCTTGTTATAATATATGAAGTATTTCTTAATGGCATTTCTGAAGGATTTGACTAAAAGGATGGCGAAGAAATGTGCTCCAAAATAGTTAGCATAAAACAATCTCCCAGTGATTAACAATAATAAGTATATAGTGTTTCACATTTTAAACTCGGAGACATTGCACTAACAGCTTTTTACTTTCTCATTCGATCTATGAAACAAGGATTTTTTTTTGGTAATATCGTTTGATGTTTTACTTAAATCATTTTTCACTTTGTTGTTCTTTTAGTGGGCTTTTAAATATATTCTTAAACTGATTTATTACACTTTTTGATACTAATCAAACCAATCAAAACTGTCAATACTAAGGAAATGAAATAAAAGCTGATTCATATTTTAATCAATCTTTTAACCTTTCTTATATATATAAATATCTACGGAAATAATATCATTCATTGTTTTTAATCCTATTTGATTGACGTGTCACTTTTATAGGCAATCGCAACAAGGAAAATATTGGTTATTTATCATCAATATTTACTGTTTTCTTTATCACATAAATCTTTTGCTTTAGCCATTTGTCATATGAATAGATAAAGTGTACGTGACAGTTATTGAAAGAACGAAACATCGTCATCGCATATATAACTATAAGTTAATGATAAGCATAGACGTAATTCAACAACGTGTATATTTACCTGCTGCCTATCAAGTATATAAAAACAAAGATGAAATACATTATTACAAGACAATTTTCATTTACGAATGAAAAATTTGAAATTACTAGTAATTCAAAAGTAGTTTGTACAGTTAAAGCAACATCTTCAAAAAATTACAAAGGACAATTTAAGTAAAACTTTTTATTTTTATTTATTTTTTGTATCTTTAATATTATTCTTATATAGTATTACATTATCAAATCTTACGAATAAAATAATCGGAAATGATTCTTGTATTGTTGAACCTGATGAAAAACAATTACAAAATTATTTTATTTATTCAATAAATCATCAAACAAATGAAAAAATTCTTTTTGGTCAATTAACTTATGACTTTTGTAATTTTAATGATTATCTTTATACAATTATTATTGGACAAAAATTATATAATGTAAGAAGTTCCGATTTAAGATATCGTCGTTTAGCTATAGTTGATATAATTAAATCAAATCCAAATGAAAATACAACATTAAATTGTCCAGAAACATTATTTCAAGTTATTGATTCATTTTCAAAATCAACGAATAAATATCATGTTAATATTCATAAAAAAGAATGGCCATTAGGTTATCTGGCTATTACGATTTTACTTCATCTTCATGAATCTCAACAAAATAAAGACTAAAAATAAAAATATAAAATTGAAAGTTCATGGTTTTTAATCATTGTAAATAAAATTCATGGTTTTGGTTTAATGCAGTATAAGATCGAAAATAGAAAGTAGCAAAAAAAAGTAATATGTCTCTAAAAACCTGACTTTAAACGTCTATTATTTATTATTACTTTTGCCATTGTTCTATCATTCGATCAGATCTAAATTTTATTATTTTTTTTTCGTCAAGGAAGATTTCTAAGGTAAGAAAAAAATGAAAAAAAATCTGATTCTGATCAGTAGAACTTTATTAACCAATTAAAACAGACTAAAATCAATCGAAATCTATTTTTAAAGGTATATACTCACCATTGAATAGCACCATTGTAATCAAAAAATAATGGACTATACTCTGAGTTTTTGTCAAAATTTCTTATATGTGTTTTACATCGGACAACTGCTAACAATCAGAAATCTTTATTATAGGAACTCTTTTAGAAGTTTTACTTAGTCAGTAACCGATTTGACTCTTCGAAATTGCTTAGCAAGTATTTTACTGGTAAAAAATTATTTTAATAAACGGTAGTAGTCTTTAAGAAGTTGGAAGATCTATGCTCACATCTTGGCTCTTCAGTTCAATAAATAATTCGACGTATCTCTTATACTGATAGTTTTCAAATATGCAAATTTTTCGATCTCATTCAACTTGTTATCATTATGATGATAAACTTTTTACAATGTTCTAATAAATAACTAGAATGATTGTGGAGTTTCATCATTTAGAAACTCTTTATATAAAAGAAATTTGCTTTGAACAGTACCATTCTCAATTGCTAAAATAGTCAGAAGATAACAGCTATACAACTAAAAGTCTATCATTATGGCCATTGCGATTTCATCTTCACTAGATGTAGATCAACCATCATCGCCAGATGTTGCACTTATCAATTCACAAAAAAGTAAGATCATTGCTCTTATTAGATGATTATATTTTTCAATTGAAACAACTGCGACATATTGAAAATATACACATCATGACTGTTTAAGAAAAGTTTTCAGAAAAATTTAATGATTGATAATGATGGTCATCTTCTAGATGAATAAAAAATAAAAATGCGTGAATCTTATGAAAATTTTATTCATTTCCATTTCAAAATTATGTATGATCTCTGTTAAAATGCTAGTATTATTCGATACATATATATTTTAAACATATTTTTGTGACAGCAGATAGTATTCGACGATGAAATGTTGAGGTCAATATAGATATTAAGTGAAAGTTTTACATTGTTGCATATTAATATATGATTGAAACAATTAAAAGAGGACGGTTAATCTTTTACACACACACAAACAAAATAAATTAATCAAAAAAAATACAATCGATTCTAATTTGAAAAACAAATAAGAATATACAAATTGGTTCAAAAATAATTTAAATTCTTACTGTTTATAATAAAAGAATAAAAAGTCAAAGGAAAAACATAGCATACTTTTTCAATAAAGATACAAAGTCGACTTCTTAACTTCATTGAAACTATCATCGTGAACAATCAAAATTTACTTTAATATTTCATCTTATATTAACTTGATTGATTAAGTATGATTTTGCATCTTCATTGACTAATAAAATATTTTTTTTTGCATAGGTTTATTTCAAATAGTTTACTTCACTAAGTAACAAGAAGTGTCTTGATATCATTACATACTTTATATATATATGTATGAAAAATTAGCGATATTATACTATTGTTACTTTTTCTTGTTGTTATTGTTTCATGAATATACATGACTCAAAACTTGGTATTTATCTTAAAAGAATTATTATGATTTAATACATGACGTAACACGACTATGCATAAAGAAAATAATAATTTTTAAAAGAAATATTTTCATTAGTAGAAACTCGATTATTTGGTATGATCAATCCAAGAATTAGTAGCAGATGAAAATGATGTAAAAAATTCTATTATTACATCATTTCGCTATACACCATGATAT